TCACAAAAAAGTTCGGGTGTTTGAGGGTTAAATAACGAATAAAAAATGTAACACCTCTTATATGTCAGTTACTAATTAATATTGAGCTTTATATGTAAAATATTACCATATTGCATTTTTCTACCCAGACAAGCCCTTTCAAGGCCAAGGTCATTAAGACATGCAGTGTTGTAGGGAACGGCGGTATACTGAAAGGAAGTGGATGTGGAAAAGAGATAGACGCCTCGGGATTTATATTTAGGTAAGGGATTCTGTTAAACATTTATATGAAAGGAAAACTTAACGGTGTGGTACTTTTATTTTTGTTACTAGTGCTTATAAGTCTTACCAACTAGACCATGTACTCATATATACAATTGTACAATTCTGTGGTAAAATCGTTACAAAACCGACTAAGTACTAATCAGTTAATCGACCAGGCAGTGCCCAGTCGCCACCGATCAAATGCTGACACCCGGAACGTAGAGAACTCTGAGTTGTTGCCTAATTAAACTGTGATTGCCAGGTGGTTATTTACCCCCACCCCTACGACTCATTACATGTGTTATTGAACGTCATCACAATATTATTGCTACAGATTATGCTTGATAACCATATTCCCCTTTAACTATAAACTGTTTAACTGAAAACACTTGGTCAAATGAACAATGATGCTGTTTGGTATATTTTGCAGGTGCAACATGGCGCCGATGAACAAAGTGTACTTAAAAGACATCGGGAAAAGCACCAGTCTCATCACACTCAATCCTGACATGATAAGGTGGAAGTACGTGTAGGGTCTTCTTACATAAAAATCTTCACTCTCGGGAATCTTATAAATCGGGTTGTTATCAATAAAAATCCACGACCCCACGTCCACCGCACCAGGCCCAGGTCCTGTCCATTCCCTGATGGTGCCGGGGAAGAACGACAGCCTGTAGAAGTTGTTTTCAATCGCGATAGCCTTCAATGTTGGAGAGTTAAAGTCTACTCAGACACATAACCAGCTCTTCAACACTCATCACAAAAACCACCTTTTGTACTAAATTACACCTTTGCACCGATGTTACACTAATATCTTTAGTTATCCTAAGTCTTTAACCCATTCCAATTTGTATTTATGCACCATTTTCTGCTAGGTACTAATAATTTTCTCTATCTATCTGTTTGTATAGCTTGTACATTGTATTGTATTTTGTCACTAGCACTACTTAGGAGACAGAATTATGTATGACGGAGTGTTTGGTTCTCTTTAAC